GAAACATTAATTAACATGCTGGTGACCTGGAGATACCCGGGAGCGTGATGGGAATCACCAGTGGAGCCTAGTTCACCAAGGTTACATTTCAAAATGCAGGATTATTATTAGTTTAAAAGGTGGTAAAATGCAAAAATCAAATCATCATCTGGACTGATGTTTTGACCAATCCATTGTTACAGTGTCTGTTTGAAAACTGTATTAAAATAAAAAGTTGTTTTTTTTTTGAAACAGAGTCTCACTCTGTTACTAGGTGCCAGGCTGGAGTGCAGTGGCAAGATCTTGGCTAATTGCAATCTCTGCCTCCCGGGTTCAAGCAATTCTCCTGCCTCAGCCTCCCACGTAGCTGGGATTATAGGCACGTGCCACCATGCCCAGCTAATTTTTATTTTTTACTAGAGACAGGGTTTCACCATGTTGGCCAGGATGGTCTTGATCTCTTGACCCCGTGATCCGCCCACCTCGGCCTCCCAAAGTGCTGGGATTACAGGCGTGAGCCACCACGCCTGGCCGAAATAAAGTTTTAAGACATATATGTTGTTTACAATGTAAAAGAAAAAAATTATCCAAAAGTTATTAACAATGAAGAGATGAACGTGCTACATCAGACTAAAATCAACATATATTTGGCTAAAACAAACAAAAAATCAAGCAGCTATGTCTATGTTAATATTATATAATGTGGAATTTAGAACTGCAAGTACTGAAAATTACCAAGCAAGAACTGGTAAAAATTACAATACAAGTTTTAAGCACATATTAACATGGTCTGGAAATACATCCAAAAAGCTTATGGGAAATGTTAATAAATCCCTTTTAAGAACTGACAAACCAAATGTAAGTAAAACACTAGTATTTGAAAAACAAATTAATAGGCTTGGAGAAATGTGTACCCAATAGCCAAATGAATATTCTGTATCAATAAATAAAAAGCTAGTTCTTTTGACAGAATAATAGCATTTGACTACCCTGATGAAGAAAAAAGTAAAAGAAAACAGGGAGCAAGAAGAGAAAACGTAACCTAAGGTATGGAACGGATTTTATGAAGATAATACTGTATGTAATTTTCTATCAATACATTTTTTAAAAGCTAGATGAAAGAGACTTTTCAGGAAAATGTAAATTGTGAAAACTGTTAAAAAATAAGTGCAACATCTGAATTATACCAGTTCCTACCCAAGGAAACCTATCCCCCCAATGGTAAAATCATAGGAGAATGGGAACATTTTAAATGGAGAGTTCATTGTGATGTAGATAACCCAGAGCACAGAAAAAATGGCAATCTTCCTAATTACTTATTTTAGGCTAGCGTAAGTCTCAGATTAAAACTGAGCAAAAATACTGAAAAAACAAAGTATATGCACATATAATTTAAAATTCCTAGGTAAAATAGCAGCAAATCAAATATGTCAACCCATTAAAAGGATAACATTATAAACAAGTAGGGTTTATTCCAGGAAAGTTCTATCAAATATTAAAAAATCTAATGGTATTGATATAATTCACTCTATTAATGGGTAAATACACAATCATCTATGTAGATGAAGAAAGTGTATCCTATAAAATTCAACATATACACACAAAATCTCAAAGTAAGCAAAGTATAAACTTGGATCTATACTAACTGCTATGCATAATCGTAAAATATACAAAGCCTTCCTATCATAGTCAGGAATCATAAAATAATGCTTGTAATAATCACTGCTACTAATGGTACAGAAAAAAAAACTATTCATCTTGGAAAAAAAACTGTCATTAATTGCAATTATGATTATTTGTCAGGAAAATCTAATTGCCAAAAAGCTATTAAAAGTAATACAACAGTAAAATAAGACAGTGATAAAGTTGGTAAATTTCCAACAGAGCAGTATAAATATCACTAGAAAAAATGCTATGAAAAGTAGAGCCCACTCATAACAGCAATGAAAAACAGTAGAGTATAATAAAATGAGATGTTTAGTGAAATTCCATGGAAGTATAGATGACGTAAAAAGTGAGAACTATATTATAGTATTGGATAGAATAGTAGACGAAACTGTTAGCTTTTCACAATTCAGTAACATTTCGAATAAAATTTGTTATGGAAACTTCAGAAAATATTTCTACAATTTATGCACAAGGGAAAATGTGGAAAAAGAACATAAGAAATTTTGAGTGGCTTGTTCAGAACTGCTATTTTAGTGTAACAACTGAATATCGTGCAGGAATTTAAAGATCAACGGAACAGAACAGAAGATCCAGAAACAAATACATGCTTCTGTCACACCTGTGTATATGGTAAAGAAAGCATTCTACATGGTTGGGTTTAGATTTAAGTTTTTAACAAGTAGTGTTTAGAAAATAGACCTTTAATCTATAAATGTTTTAGAAAGTTAGATTTCTGCATCATACAAAATCATTTCTCGGTAAATTAAAGAGAGAAATGCAAAACAATGGGAAGAGAACAATATAGAATAATCTTATAGTTTAAAGGTGCTAAGACCTCAAAACTCTAGTCATTGAATAAACCACATAAAAATGAAACTTTCTATAAATTTCTGTTAGAAAATTTACTAGATTAGCAAAAGACCATGAAAAACACATATAAAGTGGTCTAATTAATTAATTAGAAAAAGGCAAATAACAGGGTAACTAAAATATATAATTCAAAGAAAAACAAATGGCTAAAAAGCGTAAGAAAAAAAATCTCCAATCCCCTCATTAGTAATCAGAAAAGTCTAATTATTAACATGAGGTATCTTTTGTTGCCTATCATCATGGCAAAACTTTTGAATGTGTGTTATGTCCAGGACTGGTGAGGGTAAGTGTAAATATATTTTTGTACACAGGCTGGTGGGAGTGTAAATGGGCATAGTTTTTACTTAGAGAAATTTGGCAATGTCATACTAAAATTTAAACTGCACATACTTTTCTCATGGAAAATAACCTATTTCATAGGAGCTCTAACATTCTGTATGCATGTTTTTTTTTTTATTAGCAATATTGCAGAAGAGATCCGAGTCACCAGGAATGGCCTAGAAAAACATGTTACTAGATGGGATCCATAAACCGTGTTCATAAATGTATATTTTCAAGGTTTTATTATGTCACATGGTTACAGTCATTTTACAGAATACTTGAAACTAGTATTGTGGTCTGACTCAAAGGCTAACTTTCAAAGGAAAAAGAAGGCGGCCCTGGCTAGATTGTCTTACATTTTGTGGTTACTATTTTGAACTGCATAAAATCCTTTTGCCAGAAGAGGAAGTTGCTGGCTTTTAGAAAGCCTTGTCTTCTTTCAGTTAAAAGGCACTTTTAAGCATCCTCAGACATGTATAATTTCAACTATATTTAATTAACTTATCTTCACATTCTTTAATTCAGCTATTCCATCTCCAAGCCTCTACTAGCATTAGAGAAATACTTCCATGCAAAGAGACATGCACAAGGATGTTTATTGTGGCATTGTTTTTAATAGCGAAAAATTTGGAAACAACAAATTAATTAGGAAATGGTTCAATAAAACTATTATGTTCATATTATGGAATACTATGTAGCAGTTAAAAAGAATGAGGTAGGTGTACATATATACTAATATGGAAAAATTTCCAAGATACACTCTTAATGAAAAAAGGCAAGTTACAGAATACATAGTGTACAATCTCATTTTCATAAAAACAAAAAAATTATGGACATGTGTGTGTAAAAATGCTTTTTGGAAGAACTAGAAACGAGATCAACAAGCTAAACAGAAGTTCCTTCTGTAGCATGGCAGGGGGCTTCCATTTTTTTATTAGTTTCCTATTTTCTTTTTTAATAGACTGTTTTAACAAAATACAGCTGTGTATTGTGCCTACAAAAATTAATATTTACATTTATTGACTGTGTATATATAAAACCTTTATCATTAATACTTAAAGTTTATGTATATACACAATAGATATGGTCTGTGAATTGTACATCGACTGTAAGAAAGTAATTTAAACAGTGTTTATCTAAATGGTGTAAACATTAAGTGTTATGATGTCTAAATCTGAAAATATAGTTCAGTTTTGTTTGGATGTACAACAGCATGGAGGCACAGTCTAATAATCAATTTTAGAAAAGACTATTCCAATTAGCAAATTTAGTAAGTTTCATTATGGAAATTCCCAGAGGCAAGCTCTGGCATTTAATGATTAGAAAAGTAACAAGAAAGTATTGCCTACAGAGTCAATCAATAGAAAAGTAAATTTCACTAATATAAAATAACCTTTATATTAAGCAAAAAATATAGAGTTAATTAGAGGAGGTATATAAGTGTTTCCAAAGTATACAGTGTAAGACAAGACTAGATGGTGTGATAAGGATTATGAAACAAATAATAGAAAAATACAAGTGAGAATTCCTTTGTCTCTTAAAATTCAGAATGAATCATAGTAAGATACGTAAACAGTTTTACAAAATTTAGCAAGATTGTTTCCTTTTGTTGTCTTCTCCAACCATTACTATATCGAACTGAAGCAAATGATGAAGTCGAATAAAAGCCAGTCAAGCCTAAGTGTGTTTCACTAAGTACAAAAAACAATGGCTTCAATGAATTGCACAAGAATTCCAGGTGTCCACTGCAGTTTCCAGGTTCAGTCCTATAACCCACTTTACTGAAGTTTCCTTTATGGTGGTAGCTGTAATGGAAAGGCCTGTTAGTCAACATAACAGTTAGCTTGAGCAGAGACAAATTAAAACATGAGTTATATTAAGAATTAACACTGAAGTTCACTGAAGGTAAAAAGGATGTGATTTTTCTATCACCACCAGTAGGGTCTATTCCTGAATCACTTGATGTTTTTCTTCTATGACGATGGGAAGGTCCAAAATGATTCTCTCTGCCGCACACCATACATGGTTGCCATGCTACGCATTTCAATGGTGAATAGTGCAAGAACAAATACATACTTTTTGTACTATTGTTCTCCAGTACTTGGAATTTTTGCAACATTCAAAAGCAGCTCAAGTAGAAAAGAAAAAGTTCAAACCAGTCACCAGATCCAAAATTAGCATTTTATTCAGAACGCTGGGGTCAGAGGTGTATCATTTATATTCTGGTACACAATACAGAGGCAAAGCTGTTGTCAGAAGTCTCTCCAGTTTAAAAGCTTTTCTTTTCCTCATTTTAAAAAAAAAAAAAAACACACAGTAGTGCCACCAGTTTCAGGCCACCCCTTCTTTTTTTTTTTTTTTTTTTTTTTTTTTTTTTTTTTTTTTTTTTTTTGGTACAAATTATGTAAAACATTTGTGCTAAGAACTTTTCTCCCTCCCCAAACAAAAAAGAAAATAAAAAATAAAAAAAATTAAAAAATTAAAAATCGAGTATTCTAACTACAGCTCAACAATTGAATCAAATGTCACTTTGTTTTGTAAATACTTTACTTTATCCATAACGAAAGATATAAACATGCAAAAAACCTGAATCCATAGTCCAAATAATACATACACATGTTCTGAAGTTTCTGCACTTCTCCATAGACTATGCCAATAAAACATTATGTACACATACCATTTTTACAGTGAAGTGGAAAAATACAGAAATAAAAAAGTGTACATGGATTAAGACCAAAATGTGTCTAACATTCTAGTTTATGAAAAAATTCAATTTTGCTACAAATTGGTGATATGAAAACTCCCTTTATTTGCAACCAGCTGAGTAAGTTTTAAGATTTTAGTGAAAAAAAACAAAAACAAAAACAAAACTAAAGTCTAATACTAGAAGTAATGTACATTTTCCAATCTCATGGTCTCATCCCCCAAGATAATAAAATCGCTCCATGAGTTTTTTTTTAATTTTGTATTTTAATAAAAGCAAATGCAATGTAACAAAAGCGTGTTGAAGCATATCATGGTTTAACTTACTGCTCCCACCACAAAATATTTTGTCTTTTACTTATCATTTCAGAAATCAGTACCATTAAAGCCTTAAACATAAAACTAATTCCAATCTGAAAAAGGTACAAAAAGGCACATAAAATCCCAGTGCTTCTGTACTGTAAAATTCAAGTGTAACTGAGCTCAGTGTTTTTCCAAACAGTATGGATCACTGATATTCCCTCTGAGCCCAAATTGGTTTGCAGCCTATGCCAAAGCCTCCAGCAAGCACTGTGCTAGTAGACTACAAAGTTAAAGCCTAGCTTCTGTATGCTTTTTGGGAATATCAGTTGAAATTGTTTGTACTTGTCCAAAAACCAAGTTCACCCTGAAGTTCAGTCATCACCTCCACCATACATGTCAGCAAGTTTCTTGAACCGTGGCCCCCAGTCGTTCAGGTAATCATAGTCCTGCTCACCACCACTACTTGAGGAATTAAGGGAGCTCAAGGACCCAGCAGTGGAGCCACTGCCTTCATAGTCAAACACTAACAGGGAGTCATATGGTGGAGCTGTGGGGTCATTGTCAGCAGCTTTAAGGCCCTGCAATTTGGAAACAAAAAGAATGAAAGAAGAGAGGGTTACAATTTACAAAACCACAAACATATCCTAATGAATTCATGTGATCAAACAAACATTTGTTTGTAAATTTCCATTTACAGACCACATTTTCAACACATGGAAACTGGGGATATAACCGTTTGAAAGTTAGACAAAAATTAACTTATATCTTTCCCGTGCAGTCAAGCTCAGGGAGGCCAAGATTTATGAAGGGAGGGGCTTAACTGGATAGTAAGTTGGACAGGTGGCAGAAGTGAAAGGCCTGCTTGAGGCAGAGAAGGATCTTAAATAACATAATATATAGAGCGGGATTGGTAGATTAAATAAACCCACCTCACTGAAATGCAAGAGACATGCAAATGAGTACCATATGATCTGTGTCCCTCCACAGGCTTACAATCTAGTATAACAGGCCTTACTACTGTGTGAAGCAAATGATAAATAAGTGACAAAACTATGAAGTCCAAGCCAAAACCATCAGGTTCTGGTGGAAAAAATTCAAATCAGCATTAAGAGCTAGGAGTTCAAAGAGAAAGCAGCATTGTATTTGACCTAATTCTGGAAGGACATCAAAGGAAGACTGAAGACAGGCCAGATGTGATTACTACATAAAGGGAGGTACTCATGACATCATTTATGTGATCAACATAGAATATGGAATTAATTAATTGTAAACTGGTATTTTTAAAAATAGGGTAACTTCTAACTTCCAAAAACCCTAGACATGTCCAAATCCACTATCTGCACATGGTATACATACTGAAAAGAGGACGATTCCTGTCAATCTAACATAGATATCTGGTGTTTTTTTTTTTTTTTTTTTTTTTTTTTTTTTTAAGACAGTCTCACTCCGTCACCAGGCGCCAGGCTGGAGTGCAGTGGCTTGACATCGACTCACTGCAATCTCCGCCTCCCAGGTTCAAGCAATTCTCCTGCCTCAGCCTCCCGAGTAGCTGGGACTACAGGAGCGCACCACCACATCCAGCTAATTTTTTTTGCATTTTTAGTAGAGACGGGGTTTCACCATGATGGCCAGGATGGTCTCAATCTCTTGACCTCGTGATCTGCCCGCCTCGGCCTCCCAAAGTGCTGGGATTACAGGCGTGAGCCACCACGCCCGGCCCGTATCTGGTTCTTAAAAAGAATTTAAAAAAGAAACAAGGAAGTAACTACTATCTATGTTTGTTCCTCTTGTAAGCAGATGCTTTTTAATATCCAATTCGAGTGTCTACAGCTAGTTTATAACTATGCTCTGCAAAACTTCTAAGGATTTAGTATTAGGTCCTTTGGTATATTTTCTATTTTTTTCCCCCAATTCCATTCTAGTACTGCTAGATATACTAACATTAGTCTCCAAACAATCATTCGCTTTTTCCACACTCCACTTGTCAAATGCTAGTTGGCTTATGTGGCCTCACCTATCCAAGATGTGTCACAGTCAGTCCCACTTGAGAGATCAAGCCTGCCAATACACATGCATTTTATGAGCGCATACATGGGTTTTTATGTGCACGTATTCATCTAGCCTTTTAAGGTTACAGAGGAGAAACAGGACAAAAGAGCAAAAAAAAAAAAAAAAAAAAGGTCAGAATCAGCATGGTATAGGGGTTAAGAGATCAGACTGAGATGACACCTTAGCTCTCCCCAGTACCAGCTGTGGGACCTCCATATATCCTCATCTACAGCTGTAATAATAATAAGATGATTATAAAGGCCAAATGCAATAAAGGGACCCGAGGGTTCACCCACAGTGTCTGGCACATGTAGAGCTCAATGAATATTAGTATTTTTAAAAAATTGAAGTTTAGAGAAAAATGTCCTGCTTTGGGATTTGAAAAAATAAGAAAACAGTGAAGATATATTTTAAGAAATAATATGGCAGCTGCTTGACTCTGATCAAAAATCAGAGAGGAAAGTACACGCGACCAGTTTTCTCATTTCCAAGTACCTCTTTACCAACAATCTTAACCATGAAATTTAGCACTGCTTGACTACTGTTCCTCACATCACTTAATACTATTTACACTCCAGAAAAGCCTGTGTAAAATAAAGCAGGTTTCAGCAAAATACTTAGATATACACAACATAAGTAATTTTAGATAGGATTTTCTTTATCTTATTTTTAGATTAAGCTACGAGGCAATTCTGCTAAGACTGAGAACCACAACCTACAATTTCTCAAAACTCGTAACTCCCTTCTGTGGTAGATTGTGTTACTGCCCTCAGTGATTCACTGCCCTTTTTCAGATGGCAGAACACACACCCACACTCCCACAATGCCTCTCTGGGGTCACGGTTTACTTTCCCAAACACACTGTCAGGCTTGGCTGTATGACTGGCTTTGGCTAATGCAATGTGAGTAGCTGTGGAAAGCAGCCACTTTAAGAACTCTATCTAATGTGTTTCCACCGTTCCACCAATCCTTTTCCTTTCCCTCTCTCCCAGGAGAATGGCCTGCTGGGGATGGGAAGTTTATCTGCCTGGATCCTGAAACAAAGAAGACATGGATCAGGAACTGAGTCACTGACAGACTACAGCTGACTTATAACTTAAGCAAGAAGTAAGTCTTCATTATTATAAGCAACAATATTTTGGAGTGGCCAGTGATTGGAACCTTAGCTAACAAAAGCCAAAGAACATTCATTCATTTTGTTTGTGTTTATTCATTCAATTTGAGACATATCTGTTAATTATCTGTTAATATTACTGCAACGTATTCTGCTTGCTGGCAGAGACACAGCTACTAATGAGCTAGATCCAATGGCTGCCCTCATAGAGTTAATATTCACATGTTAGCCTGCACTCTTCTTCCCAACAAAATCTAGCAACTAGATTTAAGCAATAGGGGATTCCCTTAGTTTGGTATTGTCTAACTTGGGGCCATACAAGTAGTAGACCCAAGAAGGATCTGAAGAAAAATCAAGAAAAATCAGGGAAATTCCTGATAAGGAGACTGGGTCCCTGAAAACAAATGTTAAATTTTCATTGTGACAACTGCTTTATAATACAGACAAGAGACAATGGCTACAATCACTTTGTTCAGGTCATCTGCTTTATCACAATTTAATTTTTAAGTAAAAATAGAGAGCCCTTATGATGTCAACAATCCTTATGATGTCAGCACCAAACTGGAAACATGGAGAGGTTAAGACTCAAGTTAGCTCTAAAGTGTCAATGGCAAGGCCTCAAGTGTGTCTGGATTTGGAGGAGAAAAAAGCGGTGAACTGTGTTTACTATGTCCAGGGAATAAATACAAGAAGCAGTCTGGTCTTCCCTGGTGTGTTCATGGACCCCAGGACTCTTCATCAAATGGCTAAGCCACCTAATTTGATATCTTAAAGTAAATATAATGCTGGTAATAACCAACTTCCATATCCACTATTAAGAGTCTAAAAAATATTCTTTTTTTTATTTTTTAGCTCCTGCATTGGCTTTCTGATCACCCTGGTAGTTTATTAATCTCTGTTTTATTTCTTTTCTTTTTTTTTTTTTTTTTCTTTAACAAGAAAAGAGGTTAAGGCCATAAAATCCATTAGAGAGAGACCACTGTGCTATGCTGGAGCATGGCACATTGCCTTATGTTTTAATAATTACAAAAGGGCAAAATCACTGAACTTTTCAAGAGTTCTTAGGCAAGCCATCTTTCTATGCAGAAGGTTAAGTACTTTAAATCCCTTCCACTTGGATAGCACTGATTTTTATCTGAGAATAAAATATGACTCTTCTGAATGAGGTATTATATAAACTCTTGGTAATATTTTGGTAGTTCTAAAAAGATCACACTGAAGTCCAAAGAAACTGACAGTAACAGGCACGAAATCTGAGTGAATGTACAGAAGAAATCCAGTGGGCAACAGAACCTTCTGGTTCTCCCTTATGGGATTCCTTTATTCTTGGATGTGGAAATTATTCCACAGGATGTACTGTTACCAAATTTACAAACTAACTGCCTGTATTTCTCTAGGTTTGACTAAATTTAGCAAAGTATCCTCTTGTTCCACCTTTCATGGAGAGGTAGATCTTAAATTCTGGATAAAGCTAAACTATTTTCTGAAGACTGAGGCTTCTGTGCAGAGTGAGAGAGCCTGGCTCTGGCTGAATTCTTGCGGAGCTTGTATTTATAGACTTCTGATCCCAGGCTTTATGGGCGGAGATATGCTTTTATGAGGATAAAAAACCCACATTCTCCAGTGAGGAACATATGGGGGATGTAAGAAAAAAGAGGTCTTACTGTTTCGTTTATATTCTGTTTTCTACAGTCCTAGTGCCACTGCTTTAGGCCAGGTCATCATTATATCCTGCCTGGACCAGAGAAAAAGCCTGCCTAACTGGCCTTCCTGTCTCCAGTACTATTCCAGCTTCTTTCCTACAAACTGTTGGTTTCTCTCTCAAACGTTATTTGATGTCACTCCCCCAAGTAAGACCCTCTCCCTCTGACTGCTCTCTATGACTCCTTCCAAATGAAGGAGTTCCCCCAGCAATGGGTGAAACGATTTTTAACTGGTGCATGAACAATTTAAAACAATTATTTAAGAAAATTAACTTAAAAATTGATGAATGGTTTAAGAAAATAATAGAAGAAGTATACAGAGAGGGGAAAAACTGGAAGGTGTTAAATGAAATGCCTGCTGTTGGGTAACCTACAGCATGCAGTAAAACTTTCTAGAAAGCATTCAGTGAACCAAGACTGTTTACCCATCTTTTCTGTTTCAGCTATTCTCAGCTCCAGCAAGCACAATTGAATTATGTACCCCCAAAGGGAACCCCCCCAAAATCCCAAAGCATCATGTTCTTGTGTGCTTCTATGTTGATTATTCATTTTGCTTGAAATGATCTCTCTATTTTTTTTATCTGATTAATAGCCATCCAACCATCCAAAAGCTCATTAAAAATGTCACTTCTACTGCACAGATTTTATTGCCCCAACCATGACTGGGAGTCATTCCTGTGGTCTCTCCGGTCCCTTCTACTTTTTTTTCTTT